GGTTGACCAACCATTCTTTACATTTGCCAGTGTGTGTATTATATGGGAGTTTCCAGCTTACTCAGGAAACCCGTACATCTCACTTTTGGTCATAACATACTCAAGAAACCTGGACAGCTTACATTTAATCATAGCATAATTAGGAAAACTGGCCAGCTTACATTTAATCATAGCATAATTAGGAAAACTGGCCAGCTTACATTTAATCATAGCATACTCAAGTAACCCGTACATCTCACTTTTAGTCACAACATACTCAAGAAACCTGGCTAGCTTACATTTAATCATAGCTTACTCAAGTAACCCGTACATCTCACTTTTAGTCATAACATACTCAAGAAACCTGGCTAGCTTACATTTAATCATAGCTTACTCAAGTAACCCGTACATCTCACTTTTAGTCAAAACATACTCAAGAAACCTGGCTAGCTTAGATTTAATCATAGCTTACTCAAGTAACCCGTACATCTCACTTTTAGTCATAACATACTCAAGAAACCTGGCTAGCTTAGATTTAATCATAGCTTACTCAAGTAAGCCGTACATCTCACTTTTACTCATAACATACTCAAGAAACCTGGCCAGCTGTTTGTTTCATTTAAAGAAATTAAATAAATATTAAAGCCCCTGTGTCAATTATCTGTTGTCCTTTCTGGCCCTCTCCCAGCAGCTCCTGTGACCTTGTAGGATGAGAGAGAGAAGGATGGCTACACACAATCCAATCCAATCTATTTGCCTACACATGCTGTAATTCCATCTGTCTGTCTAAAGATTATGTAATCCAATCTGTTTGCCTACTCATCATGTAATCCAATCTATTTGCCTACACATGCTGTAATTCCATCTGTCTGTCTAAAGATTATGTAATCCAATCTGTTTGCCTACTCATCATGTAATCCAATCTATTTGCCTATACATGCTGTAATTCCATCTATCTGTTTAAAGATTATGTAATCCAATCTGTTTGCCTACTCATCATGTAATCCAATCTATTTGCCTACACATAATCTACATGCTGACAGAGATTGTAATCCAATCTATATGCCTACACACACAATGATATATATTTCCTTAAACATTATAATAGTTACTTTGTTGGGATATGATCATTGCATTCCTGACATGTTCAAAGGTGCCCAGATCTTTCCCTCAGTATGAACCACAGCGTCCTGTGACTGATAGTACTAGTTCTTTGTTGACTGATAAGTCTTTCTGTATGTCTGGTGTGCCTCTCGGTTTTGGCTATCCCGATCTGAACTCCTGAGTCTTTCATTCTAGTGAGCAATGTGGAATCGCTGTCTCGAAAGCCCTCCACCCTTTCCACTTCTTGATAATATCAGCATGATCCATGGGTTGACAGCAGTGATAGCGGATCCAGCCTATTTATCAGCCCTTTCGTTTCCATTGACGCCAGCGCACCCCGGAACAAAGACAAAGACGACTTAAACATAATGTAATCTAATCTACACACTAGTGGGTGCTGCAATAGGCCAATGGCTACAGTTTGCCAGCCCAAAGCTTTTGGGTTCAAATCTGCACTAGAGAGATTTGAAATCATTTGCAACAACTGACATTGGCTCCCTGGCCGATAAACCCAAACATGGGCACCCAAAAATATCCTGGAAAGTAAAGGCGGCCAGCACGATGTCGACCAGAACAGCCATCCGGTACTGAAATATCTATACAAAAATGGAGCAATGGTCGTGTACTTTTATTTACAGGTCTCTGTATATACACTAATTTCCGCGTGGGTTCCGGGTCCCCACTGGAGGGGGGGGGGGGGGGGGAGGGGTGAGGGACGGACATACTAAGGTCTTAAAAACAGTTAGTTGTATCTGAGTGCGTCGTTTGCTTTCTGTCTGTTCTTTTGCTTTCTGTCTGTTCAACTATGTAGAAATTGTTAAGATACTTCTTCGTATAGTGTTGTTAGTACTTTTGTCGAATGCGTTATTCCTATCACACAACTTCAGAGCACACTTACATCGAACAGGTCTTGCTAACTCTGCTGCAAATGGCTTGGGCTCACCAAAGCAAACTCCAGAGTATGTCTAACAAACATGTCATAATAGTCTACTATTTAAGGTTGTTTCCTTCGAAGTCGTACTGATGTTACCAAACCCTAATAAGTCACCTTTTACGACAAACCAGGTAAGAGGTGTCTGTGGCTTAGGCGTTCGCGCTTCGTAATCCCTGGGTGCCGGGTTCAATCCCAACTGCAGTCCTTGTGCTGGTTTCGACAGTAATATCCACAAGCTGATCGTCTAAAAAGAATTGGCAAACTACTAGACACAAATTTGCCTAGAAAACCCCAACAGCCCCCCCCCCCCCCCCCCCCTTTCCCAAAATAAAAACGGGAGCTGGCTCTGCAATGTCCTGTAAAGAACTGTTACACTTATCTACAGCTGCTACACTTATCTACAGCTGCTACACTTATCTACAGCTGCTACACTTATCTACAGCTGCTACACTTATCTACAGCTGCTACACTTATCTACAGCTGCTACACTTATCTACAGCTGCTACACTTATCTACAGCTGCTACACTTATCTACAGCTGCTACACTTATCTACAGCTGCTACACTTATCTACAGCTGCTACACACAATAAAGGCAGAATTTATAATTACAGTGAGTACGATAAGCACACAAAAAAAGCAATGGTATAAAAACGGTGTTGCTAGATATAAAAAATAAATAAATACATTTTATCACAATAATAACACGCATGAAAATTAACCAATATAAATAATTGTCTCCCTCAAAATGTACACATTATGTCAAACAAAACAAAAACAACAAAGTTTTAAAAAAAAATGAATCCATTTGCACACATAAATATAACCCCCCAAAAAAAATCAGACCATCAGGTGGGTTGCCTCTACGAACTCGCATGTCAGTAGCAGGTCCTTCATGGTTGCCCATAGCTTGCTCTGCACGCTTTGCTTTTTTGTTGTATGGAGGTACATTACCAAATAAAACTATTGTTCTATTGTGATACTCTAGCTAGTCAGTTAATCGACACATTATCTTCACTGCACATCAGATAGGTTCATAAGCGCTCGGATCCTATCTTCAGCATATCCCCCAGTGTGATAGTACCAGTTCTGGTTTGGTTTACTATTCGTCTTTGGTTACTGTGTAGTGTTCATGTCCTGTCTGGCGACACATCTTATGACCTAAAGTTTTTATAGTCTTTTGAGTGTATCCGTCTCTACCGGGACACTCTACCAACCTCAGCTGTTGTTCTATGGAATTACCTTGCCAACTTCAACTACTGTTCTACACAAGTACCCTGTTAACATCTACTACTGTTTGTTGCAGGTATTTTATACTTTTTTTTTGTTTTTAAGTTTTAAGAAATGTTTCTACAAACTTAAATTGTTGTTTAACAGAGATACCTTTCTAACTTCAACTGTTGTTCTATAGAAGCATCCAGCCAATATCAACTAATCTCTACTGGTAGCTTATTTCTAGAGTTGTTTTGTTTTAAAATTGTTCCATATCTATATATTCTTCAACTGCTGTTTCTAATGAGGTACCCTGCCAACTTCAATTATTGTTCTATGAAAGTACCTTGTTTTTACTATTGTTCAATAAAATTACCAACATACCCCCTAATTGTTATTTACCCGTCAATCTTTGCTCTTTGTTTCATACTTCAAGCACCACTGTACGGAATGACCACAATCTTCCATTTTTTATACTGTTCCATTTAATAAACTATTTCCCCTTATGTCAACATTATCAAGTGCATCCCATTATGATAATAAGTTTTCCTTGCATAAACAGGTGGGGGAAAATGTTTTTGAATCTATTGAGGATGAGAAAGTCAAGGAAAAACCACCACATCAATTTCTCAAGAAAAAGTGTAATCACAAAGCCAGTAGATTCACTGTGGGCGGAGGTATTAACAAATTCCTTACTGGTTTTCCCTTTGCGTTATCAAATAGGTTCTTTTACTGTACAAAAGAACAGAGATAAAAACAACTTTCTGGGCTGCTAAATGCAGCAACATATAAACGCCACTTTCTGTAATGCTATGACAACATACAGAAACCACTATCTTTGTTGCTATAACCAAGCAACACAGATTAACATAATATATTTAAAAAAAAACATACATGAAGTTAACTATGAACCTGGCATAATAGTTATAATTTTATCATATAACATGCACACAGCAGTCCCCTATAAATATTTGCATATAGTTTGTATACAAAACCAGATCATACAACAATATATCTTCACCAATTATTCTTATTTATTAAAACCACTACTATGTTCCCATATGCATCCAAGTAAAGAGCAGCTGAAAAAAAAAAAGAAGAATCACCCACATACAACATACAAAATGTTTTTCTATAGAACAAAATGACTGCAACAATTATGTAGCAGATACAGCCTTAGGTGACTGAGCAAAACCCTCTAAAACATGAGATAAAACCTTCGATTTATGAATGACACACTCAAATTCGTATCCTGATATTGAGGAAATGGAAATAGAGAAGAAAAGGAAAAAGAATAACTGAAAAATGGGAGAAGAGGAGGTGGAGAAAAGGTGTGAACATAATACAACTGAAGAAGAAAGACAGGAGGAAAATAAAAAACAGTAGGGGAGAAGAAAAAGAGGAAGATGAAGAAGTAGAGGAGGAGGAAGAAGAGATGCTCTTACTATTATCAAAATTAGGTTTCACTAGTAAACACTACAATATTCTGTTGAGCACACTATGTGGCTTCACTAGTTTAACATTTTAAACAACACTTCCATCATCATAAATATTTCAAATAATATTTCATTTATAACATGCAAACAACACATGATTTTGTAACAGGAATGTTTACAATCGAATGACACTGAGCCGTCTAGGAAACCGTGAGCAGGAAACAACTGAAACAGCTGGAGAGGCTAACAATCTCTGCCAAACTTTCCTGGATGCAGCCGTGAGACCTGGAGATGACTGTGACAACAAATATCTCACTCAAACAGTGAAGGTTGGGGGTTAACTGTCTGTCCTGGTTTCCCTGTTTCAATTAAAAAAAAATAGGGTAATGAATACTTTTAGATGCAAACCTTTATTTATCAATCAATCATTTATGTTTTATCACCACAATATCCTTTCTTCTTTTTAGCATTGACTGGCTGTAAACTCCAGCGAAAAGCTCGGGTTGTTCGTCCACTTCTAGACTCTGGTCTTGTTCCAGAACTTGTGTTTTGCGTGCATATCCGTTTTATAGATTTGGCTTTTTCTTGTATGCAGACTGTTGGTTCCTTAACTCTCAGGTAGATGCACTCCTACGTCGAAGGAAATGTATTTCTTAATTGCCCCCCCCCCCCACCACCACCAAGCATGTCATAAAAGTAGACTAATTAGAGGTGTGGGCTTTGAAGCTGAAGTGCGTCTGCTTGAGAGGATTGAATTCACTGCACCAGGCTGCAGCCCACATGACTCAGGTCTCTCTGCCCAACGGCTAGCTGGCTGCCCACAGTGTCATACCAACAACAAACTCCATGGCTCTAGTGTGATAATCCCCAGGCATCTCGGTAAAAATTGCCCTCGTGAACTGAATGGGGCAGTCTGTGGAACTGATGCATGATCTTCCCAGCATACAGCTTAATAAGGATTTAGCTTATTTAAAATAACATTGCTCAAGTGTGTTCTGGTAACCCATTGTTTAAAGAGCACCGGCTCACTGTCTAACAAACACTTTGCAAAAAGATACTAATTAAGAGCTTGCTAATTTTGCGTTGTTGGGTGAGATATTGCAGCCTAGCTGTAAACCACAATGTAATGTGCTAAGTGCCCTTTTAACCCCCTTATGCATAAGAAAATTTAGAACATGTGTTTTTACCCAGCTTTGGTAGTCTCCTGTTCAGGTGGTGATAAGACTTCTGCATCTTTCTCCAGGGACAATGAAGGTAGTGGTGGTGCAGCTGCAACTGGTAAACCAGAAGATACTTGGCTTGTCAGTTCTGCCTTCACGTCTGCTGCTGTTTTGCTGATCTCTTTTGGAGAGATGGGTGCCTCAGTTTCTTGGCGGGAGTGCTTAAGAGTTCCTTTGGTTGAGTTTAGACCACCATTACTTTGAGGAAGTTCCTTGGATGATGGAGATTGAGGGGTTGCTGAGCTGTCTTCTTGGATCTGCATATGATACTTGTATGTGTCTGTTGTTGGAATTATTTTCCCTGATGAAGAGAAAAAACATGCACATATTTATATTCTGTAATCATGACTCTTTCATTATCACAGAGCAGGTTCTTTGCAAGACTCAAATCATGGTCAACCACTGTTTTAAATTCTTGAGTAAAACTTCTCACTGCTTGTTAAAAATATCATAAGGAAGGACTATTCTACCCTTCCAATCACTTAACTTTCAAATACTGATGCATCTTTGATATTAACATGATTGTGTGATCTGGGAATAAAACATGGCAAAGCATGTCTATGCCAACTTTGAGGTTGAGACAGAAGACACTGTAAGGAGCTTCTCATGGAAACAATAAGTAGAAGCACACTAGTGGCTGCTGCACTGGAGGAATGAGCATATATGGGAATGTCAACAGTGCAGTGACAATGATTGTGATAACATCATTTTTCAAACATCAATTGTATTTTATGAAGGAAAAAAAAAACAAGTCGAACAGATTCAGAACACAAACATTGGTGTGCAAACATTGGCCATTCAGCAATCTCTTCAAAAGCAGCCACAGCCAAGAAAGACTGAGCACTTCTGTATTTACTTGATCTGCTGTGATATAATTACTTAGTATAACAATGGAAGAGTAACTCACCAGAAGTCAGATTGAATGCTCTCCCCTTAATCTGCTCTTTCGCAGGAGAAAACCAGTTTAACAGGGAGCTAACCACAGGCACTTGACGTAGGACACCCTACAAACAGTCAATTAAAAAATGTATGTTAACAATTATTTTCAGGTAAATATATGTGTCTTCCCCTTGCTGAGGTGGTGTTTAACATATTGTTAGCCTGGTTTGGTGACGTCAGCAGCATGGCCTGTCAGATGGAGACAGTTTTGGTTGTGAAGAGCAAGTGGCCAAACAGTTAAGAACACTAGGCTCTTCAGTAAGGTTATAGGTTTACTGTTGAGGGTAAAGGCAAAAATAAAACCCTGACCTGCAGTCCGTGGTGACAGCACTAGCCATGTTTTATCCTCAGACTCAAAGCTCCCCCCCCCCTTCCCCCTTTTTTTTTTAAACAAACTACACTGTAAAAATGGAATTAAATATTCTGAAATGTAGATAAATTCATTTTTATTTATTATAGTTCAGTGAGGCTTTGATGGCTAACGACAACATTCCGTCTCGGATACTTTAAATCGACTCTGACACAGATGATCTTTCATGACGTGATGTCAACCTGTCCAGTACTTCTCTCTAGGTCTCTCTCTGCCCCTCCAACTTTCCCACTGTCAGATTGTACTCCAGTTTTGTCCTTTTCATGACATGACGGAAGAATGAAGACTGTCTTCCTCTGATGTGGGAAATCAGCTCTCCTTGTGAGTCAGTATTCTTCAAGACATCTTCATTACTCTTTTTATCTGTCCTGGGTATTCTCATCATTCATCTCCTCTGCTTCCAAATACATTTTCACTAATCCTCCAACTGTTCATAATTCACTTCCGTATATCAAAATATGCTTTACATAACTGTGAGAATTCTCTTTCTTGTTTCAAATGACAAAGACAGATTGCATACAAAATTCTTCAATTTGTATATTTATTTATTTATTTATTATCTGTGTAAAACTTTTCTTTTTCAAGGATCCCCCCGCTAAATTCTCAAGGGTTTATGGTCCATTTTTTCAGCATTAGCAGGATGAAAGAGTTAAATATATGTTCTACAGTTGGGGGAATGAAAACAATCAGGTGCCATCTCCACAGAGAAGGCTGGTTGTAATGTATCTCCAACATGCTCTAATTCTCATCATTGGTTGTTCACTCTCAGAGACTGCTGTTCATCTCTCGACATTATCCCCCCACTTGTATCACTGTTGCGTCTTGACATGCTTTGAACCGTTCCCTCCAGAAAGGTTATAAACATCCTGCTTTTAAATGTGGCTAAAACACTTCATTTGCATCACTTAATTTATTTAATATTTAGTTGTTGTCGATGATGTTTACATTATGCTACCTTATAAAACATTGAAGTGATCCATAATTATGGTGATCGTGTGAGATGGCAAAACATAACAGTCTATGCTTACACAGTACATGATGATGGTAATGATGATGAGATTTACAATATTACTGGATTGGATTTATTACTATACTACATTTTTTAAGTTTAGTAATATAGGTATAATTAGAGCACAATCCAACTTCTATCATTAAGACTTAGATATCATTGAAAAGTTTATTACTACCCATGAAATGAAGTATGAATGAATAATTGTATGAAAGTAGGGCGACTGAAAGCGCAGGATGTTAGACGGGTCAGTGTGCCCAATCTTTAACCCAGTGGAAACAAAGTCTGATCGTTCTCCATTTAACAATTCTCTTTTCATTACCGTTCTCTTTACATAAGTCTGATCGTTCTCCATTTAACAATTCTCTTTTCATTACCGTTCTCTTTACATGAAGCTCAACTATCTGATCAACAACAAAAGATACTAACCTCATGCATCAGTTTATCTGCAGTCTCTTTTTTTAGTTCATTATTTGCCTCTTCAATTCCCTTCCTAATTAGCTCAGACATGGATTCCAGGAACTGCAAAGATAAAAGATCTGACATTACAAACAAATAAAGGACCATTTTCCTCGCCATTAGGCACATGAGATATACAGTGACAGACCAAAATTTTATAGACCAATCGGCACTCGGTTGGTGATGTAGTCAACATCACGCTAGCCGCCTTTACATTCCAGGACCTTTCTTTTACCCATTTTACATAAAGCAGTCATCGGAAGTGCCAACACAAACAGTCTGCCATTAGAATTGCAGTCCGCCTAAACGGAAGCAGCATTTAAAACAAATCAGTAGCTGCACACACCACATGCTTCGTAGTGCAGTGTTCCATTTGTCTTGCGTTGGTTTCGACAGTGGGTACTGAGAGCTGAACATTTAGACAATAGTGGCAAACTACTGAACGTAAAATTTACCTAGAAAAACCACAGCCAAAAAATGCTGGGGTTGGTTTTGCAATGTCCTGTAAAGGATACACAACTAACTAAATATGCATAAGGCACTGCCAGCTTTGTGGCAACAGGCGGCCTGTCATTTTCTGAATCTGCAAAACCAACATAAACCATCTTACACACAGTTGAAAAGTATTCCACATGAAATCCATAGCTGCCACATCACACTACACACTCAACTCTGTAGCTGAGCAAAAGGAAACTGTGGCCAGAAGCAAAAAACATGCCAACACCTTAATGTTCAGCCTGCCTATCCACCATAATTAGATCTGAAGTTTTTTTGGAGGGTTTTTGTGTGTGTAGAGAAAAACGCCTGCATATCTATGAAAGATTCTGTAAGTTCATGACACTAACAAAAAGCAGGCAAGCATTCAATAACTGGCATATCTTGATCTGTACCTTGGACTGTCAGATATTATTTTGACTCTGGCTTTTAAATAGATTATTTCAGTACATTCTGGCAACAGAGGCTATGAATGGTTTACCTAAAACACTCTTACAAACAAAGCCCATTATTATCAATTTCCACTTTTGCCAGTAAGCATCACGGGGAGGAACAGTTTACGAGCCAGTGCCTGATGGGTAGCAATGGCTTTTGTCATTCGATGCAGAAGGTTTTTAATGTCATCAATCCATTTTCTCCTCAGGTGAACTCTTGCTTTGATATCAGATGTTCTCATGAATAGCGCCTGTGTTGGTAGTTCTGTCTGCATTCTAATGAGATGACCAAACCCTCTGATATTCTATTTCTTAATTAATTTATTGCATAGTGTTGCTCCCAGTCTGTCTGATAGTAACTTTCCACACTTTGTTCAGATGGTTAAGTTTGTGACTTTCCTCAGGCATCTCATTTCACAAGTTATTCTATGGAATAAAACATCATAAACGCAGAACGAAGGCCCCTGTAATTAAGCAGTCAAGATGTTTGCCTCTATAAGTCATGAGTTCATGTTCAACTGCGCCATTGGGTTCACAAAAACATTTTTTCAGAGATCCATTGGAATTTCCAGCCGGTATGATAATCGCTGTGAAGAGAGACTGAGCTATACATGAAATAAAACGTAGTGCACTGAAGTCAACCCTCTCATTATTAGTGCCTCCACCCTTTTTGTCCCTGTTAATTTATCATCCAATATTGTTTTTGTTTAAGTATCAATTGAATTGTGCCTGTTTACAGCAGAGCTGTGAAGTCAGTGCCTTTTACCGACACATTCTCCTGACATTGTTTACCAGGAAATCTCTCTTGGAACAACAATCCTTTTACCGGATATTGTGCCTGGAATAACTTCATTCTGTTCTTCTTCCACAGATCTAGCACAAACTCTACCTATAAACTCCTACAGTGAGTATATCAGACCAATGTACAACAAACACTGATGATGACAGTGACAACACCGTGGAATAACTCCTACCTTGGAACTTTCCTCTACTTCTGTGCCCATGCTGTGAACAAGAGAGACTAACTCCTCCACATCAGTATCTGAGGTAATGAGACCAAATCTGACACAGACAATGCCATCATCTGTCTGACCTGCAAGCAGAGAGTAATAGAACACTGTCTACCATGCCCAACTTAAAAAATATAGTTTTTTTTCAACTCTTTCTATCTATTTTTTCAACTCCTTCTATCTATTTTTTCAACTCTTTCTATCTATTTTTTTTTAACCCTTTCACCCTAGAGACCGAGACAAAGACAAAGCCAAGCTCCTGCACTTTTTATTTTTTGAACTTTCCCAGAAAATATTCTTTGAAAAACAACCATTTTAAACGCGTAACCCCCCCCCCCCCCCCCCTTTCCACTACAAAAGAGCCAGCCCTATTAACCAGTCACCCCTAATCACCGGACAATGCCACTGACCAGTCACATGTACTGACCAGCCTACTGGTCACCCAGTGACCAGAGACATCAACTGACCAGCCATGCCCAGTGACCATACATGCCTAAGGACAAGCAGTGTAAGCTGTGCCACCCACCACTACTGCCACTGACCAGTCACTCCCATCACAACCAACTATCCACTCACCAGCCACACCCACTTCCAAGCCACCCCCCACTTACCAGCAGAGAAAGCAGTGTCCTGAGCTTTAAGTTTGTGGACAAGCTCAGAGTTCAAATTGTTGATGTCAATCTTCTCCTTGTCTGTGAGTTCCCTCAGCCTGTCCAAGTACATCTGAGGGATGTAGCTGGGAAAATCCAAAGTTGACAGGCTTTAGTCTCACGCTCACATTAAAGAAAAAAAAAAACATTGCTGTGGATATTTGATAAACATATCTCTAGAGCCACCATAGTAGTGACTCTAGGGTACCATTAAACTTTCCACAAGACCATTGGTTTAGGACTTATAGGGACTGGTACCGACACATTAAGGTCTGAATTTATGAACATCTTCTTCTGTTAACTTATCTTTGCACTGAGACCCATTGTCAGTTGAGATCTGAAGGAGAAACCTCAACAGGGTAAAGATATTAGGCAAAGTCACATTCTTGGATTGTGGCTCTGTCGCTTTGAGGTTAATGAATGTATTTAACAATTTCATGATCCTCAAGTGCAGGGTTACATTGCTGCAGTAGATGGTTTATTTAAAAAAAAAAAAGTTTTTGTAGTTCTCGGACTGTAGTACGAGAGTCACACCGTGGAAAATATGGTTTCGCCACTTAATATTCCCAACAACAGCAGTGGGCACACTGTAGCCAATCTTCACTGTAGAGACAGCTCAGCATTTTTTTTTATTTTTATATTTTTACATTTGTGGATATTTACAGCTTTATGAGCAACAGCTTTAACCCCCATTTGACAAGGGTCAGGGTATAGGCTGTTCTCAGTTTAGTGGAGGGGAAGACATGATGGCACCGAGATAGCATGAGAATACAGAGACAGATATTCATGAGTGCTCGCTGATGTGCCCTCTGTTGTTGTTGTTCTCTCCCCCCCCCCCCCCCATTTCTTTGTTAATTTTCTATCTTCATCTATTTCTTTTAGAATTTAGCGTGAAGGAATGAATTAAGAATTGGCATCACTGCGTTTAAGGAACATTTCTACACGTTCTGTCCCTTCCTCAGTGGCTCAAGAGGCCTTACTTATGGTGCCAGTTGCATCTTGTTAACAGTCCCGTTGTCTGGACACTGAATGATATGTCATCTGGATACTGAATGATATGTCATCTGGATACTGAATGATATGTCATCTGGACACTGAATGATATGTCATCTGGATACTGAATGATATGTCATCTGGACACTGAATGATATGTCATCTGGACACTGAATGATATGTCATCTGGACACTGAATGATATGTCATCTGGACCCTGAATGATATGTCATCTGGACATTGAATGATATGTCATCTGGACCCTGAACGATATGTCATCCTTTCCTCACTCCAGCTGGGCCAGTCTCTCGAAGCATGGTTAGTTCATTAGGAAAAAGAAATCGATCAGCTTCAAGCCTGCTGAAGGCAGCTTCGGTTATAATTATAGACTGTTTTATTTGCACCATGTTTAATGGCTCTTGTGTGCATGCATACACACACACACACATTTACACAAACATGAAACATAAAGCTTTCATTTGCATTTCTCCCTGTGTGGGTTCCAGAATATCATTGTTGGGGGTGGGGTGGGGGGGAGTCAGGGAGTAAACCAATGTCCTCCAACTAGCAAACTGTAAAAGTCGAATTAGGATGTTTCCTTCAAAGTCAGAATGCATCTGCCTGAGAGCTGAGGAACCAACAGCCTGCATACAGATAAGCCAGATCTGTAAAATGGATATGCATGCAGAACTCAGGTTCTGGAACAAAACTAAAACCCAGAAGTGGATGAACAACCAGAACTTTCTGCCGGAGTTTCCAGTCAGTGAGCATGAAGAATAACATCAGCTCTTCTGACTGAGGCCTGCACAAATTGAATTCTGATTCTAACCTGACAGCTCCTAGGCCAGCCCAGGAATCCAAAGCAACCAGTCTGAGGTTGGCGTAGGAAGACACTATACTCCTGAACTTCTTTCTCTGCACTGTGGTGGCATTGAGTACAGCCTGAAAACACACACACAAGAGTGACACATGAGTCAGGCATGCAAGTATATCAGAGACCATTACGACCAGCAGGTCGTGTACAGAACATGGCTCTCATCATGCTACACCTGAAAGTCTCTCCTTCTCTAGCCGATGCTCCAGCACTATGTGCTTTAATAGCTACTGCATCTACACTGTCTTGTATCCACCTTCGCTGAGGTCTGCCCTGCCTCATTTTCCAGTTGTTCCCTCAACTGCCATTCTCTCCAAGCCACTGACATATAACCTGGCCAAAATACCCTCTGGGACAGAATGCTATTTATTAGCCAGTTCTTCTCGATGCTCAGATTATGTGGTAAGTCTGCGTATCTCTTTTTGGTCCATGGTATTCTACAAATTTTCTGTATCATTTCAGCTGAAAAACCTCTCTGAGGTTATTGAGAGACCATTAGAGACTATGTATCAGAGACCATTATAAGAAATGAACAAGAGGCAGTGACACCAACTTTTTGCATTAGCTATGTGTAGTAGGTGGCATTATGAGAAGAATAAGAAACAAAATTAAACCAGAAATCAGCATTGAGCAAAGTAGATTTTTAGAAGGAAAAGGTACAAACAATGCCATATACATCCTAAGAACATTGTCAGAAAGAGCTATAGAAGTAAAGACTGACTATACAAAAGCATTTGACTGTGTGAAGCATGAAGAAGTCATCAAGTAATCAAACTGTTAGAAAAATTAAACAGATCTAAGAAATAATAAAGAATAAGTATTGGCAGCAAACAGCAGCTATAAGGATTAATACCTGTTTAGGTTCATTTCAAAGCATAAAGAGGGGCGTACGACAAGGGATTTTTACTGTCACCTGATTTGTTTTCACTATAAAGTCAATATATAATGAGATCTTTAATTGATATGCCCGGAATTGTGGTTGGTGGGCACTATTTAAACAATTTACTTTATGCTGATGATTCAGTCTTGATAGCAACAAGTCAGAAAGAACTACAGGAAATGAGAGACATTGTAGTGTTAGAAAGTGGAAGAATGGGCCTCAGTCTGAATAATGGGAAGACAGAAGTAATGGTGGTATCAGATGGAAGATGCATAACTGAGATAAGAAACAGAATAGGACAGGCAAAAACTACATTTTATAAAAAGAACATCTTGTGCAATATATCTTTGTCATTGTGAGTTAGAAAAAGAATTCTTGCTTGCTACATACATCTACTTTTAACATATGGCTCATATGGATGTGAACCCTGGACAATCGGTAGGCAGGCACAACAATTTCTTGAGGCCTCGGAGATGTGGTTTGACAGAAGAATGCTTAGAATACCATGGACAGCCAAAAAGAGCAACCAAGAGGTTTTGAAAGAAGCGGGAGCCCGAAGACAACTTTTCAGACATCAGAAGAAGACAGTTATAATTTTTCAGCCATGTTATGAGAAGAGGGAAAATAGAACATGTTGTGACCACTGGAAAGATCTGTGGAAGGAGGGATAGAGGAAGACAACTAGAAAAGATTCTTGACAGTCTTGTTGCATGGCATGGAGGTATGTCGGCACACGAACTGATACATGCTGCAGGAAATCGCAGATTGTGGAGAGGCATGGTCGCCCACACCAGTCGGCAAGGCACCTGATGATGATGAGAAGGTGGCAAAATTTCTCCACAAAAGATTAAACTGTCAGACAAATGCAGACACTCTAAAGCCAGTTTACCAGTTTTAAAAAAAACCATGCATGCCTTGTAAGTGGTATTGCCAGATTCAATTCTTCTTATCCTTCTGCTTTTGCCTGTAAAGGAGTGGTTGGCATGGTGTGTTGTGGTTTACAGCTAGGTTGTGATATCTGCACTTTTCAGCCCAACAAGTTTTTAGCAAATCCTTAATTTGTTGCCTTTTATTATATGCCCACAAATGGGGCTGCGAACCCCATATGTGAAGCTAGATAAATAATTAAATATGACTGCACAGGTGGTGCAGCTATGGATATCTAGTGTCTATTTCTAGTACTACATGACCACCCGGTGGCCCTGAATTTAATCCCTCTCAAGGAGCAATTAATTAACAGCCACATACAAAAAATTAAATATAGCTACATATACTGTTCAACATTATTAACATACAAAATGTTATCTTCAAACCATAAACCAAAATAGATAGAAGGAGAAAAACAATACACAATATAAGAATATTACCAAGTTTGATTTAAGAGACTCAGCAAACTGTTCAATGTCTTCTTTTGTGGTTCCCCAAACTGTGCAAGACAAAATATTCATTATGATTGCAAATACAGAAGGAAAAAACATAGGCATTTAAATGTGAGAATCAATGTTGCCGTACTAAACTGTACCCAATATGCCTCAGTCTCTCTCTACATTGCAGTTATTAGTATGCTGCCAGTATTACACAAGGCAATTATTTCTGTAGCTTCAGTAACAACACTCCCCAAAGATTCACCAGTTCCCATCGGGGTCCCAGGACCCCATTTTGGGGAGGAAAAGGACAGACCCACTGACCTTAACCAGCATGTCATAAAAGGCAACTAATTAAGGATTTTTTAAAAATTGGATGTGTTGGGCCAAAAGATGCAAATGTCACAGCCTAACTGTAAACCACAACACAAGGTGTCAACTGCCCTTGTCTTCTTCTTCTTCGCGTTTCCTGGCTGTAAACTCCACCTTCGGACTTTAGTCTTGTTCTTGAAGCTGAGTGTGGCTTGCACATTTGTATCACACAACTGGCTTATTTGTATGCAGACTTGTGGTCCCTTGCCTCTCAGGCTGATGTATTTTGACTTCAAAGGATGTCCTCAATTAGTCGACTCCTATGGCACGTTTGCTGGTGAGGGTGGGTCTATTGCTGTTTTCCCCACAATGGGACCCCCAGAACCCACACTGGGAAATTGCCCTTGTACAGCTTCAGAGCATGAGGCAGACAGTTTAAATACTTCACTAATAAGACCACCAGAACATCATGTTGCTACAATATTAATGTGAGGAATAGAAATGCAAAGGAGAAAATCACATAACTCTTTCAATCATAAGTAATATAAAATCACATAACTCTTTCAATCATAAGTAATATAAAATCACATAACTCTTTCAATCATAAGTAATATAAAATCACATAACTCTTTCAATCATAAGTAATATAAAATCACATAATTCTTTCAATCATAAGTAATATAAAATCACATAATTCTTTCAATCATAAGTAATATAAAATCACATAATTCTTTCAATCATAAGTAATATACAATCACATAACTCTTTCAATCATAAGTAATATACAACACATGACTGTCTTATCTCAGTGTTCAGTTTTATTTATTTATTACAGTCATCTCGTTGTGGGATGCAATTTTTCATTATTTTGAAGCCCCACTGCAATATAGCCATAAATATCCATGGCCTAATGGTTGAAGGTGGTTTCAGTGACCCCTCCACGGGTGATCCTCATCCGCATGGTGGCACTTTGTGCCATCGGGTGTTTATCGCTTGTGTGATGTCCTGGTGGGGCAAAAGTACTACTACTACTATCTCTGTGTTGATCAGAAATTCACAGGGACATAGAAATAGAGGTGGACCAAAAACACATAGAAAAGGGAGCTATGGAGTAATGTTAATAAGATGAGGAGCATGGGTGAGCTGCATATGACAGCAATAGGATAACCTGGTATGGGTTGGTTGAGGGGCCTATGCTCTACTGGGGGATAAAGTGCAGAAGATAAAAAATACTGTAAAGCTAAAGCATCTTTCTGCCCTCATTCAACTTTAAATGTTTCTCTCTGTCTCTCATCCATCAACTCAAACACACGGACTTGCAGACACATCCATGCACACACACTGTTTTATTCTTCTTCTTCTTCTTCGCGTTCACCAGCTGTAAACTCTGGCGGAAGGTTCTGGTTGCTCGTCCACTACTGGACTGCAGTCCTGCTCCAGAACCTGAGTGTTGCGTGTGCATCAGTTTTACAGATCTCATTCTCTTGAATACAGACTGTTGGTTCCTTGCCTCTCCGGCAGATGCACTCCGACTTCAAAGGAAGCTCCCCAATTAGTCGACTCTTACGACATGCTTTTGGGGAGGCAGTGGGTCTATTCTTGTTTTCCCCACAATGGGGCCCCGGAACCCACACGGGGGTGTTTTATTCTGTTAAGGGGCTCCTTACCCCTCCGAAGGGGCTCCGTAGCGAAGTGGTCAAGCCATCATCTGCCTCGCGCTCTGAAGGTGGGTTTGTTTTACAGCTGCATCGTTCAGTTCAAGAGTGCAATCTTTATGGAGACCTCTGAGGATTGTCGCCGGAGCTATGGAGTTCACGGTTTGTGCTGCACTCTTAACAGGGGCCAGCCGTTCTGTGGAGAGAGACTGAGCCATATCGGACAAAACCCGGTGCAATTAAGTCAATCCTCTCCACTTTGCCTGTTGAACCAAGGATGAAGTGCCTGCAACTAAATTTACTGTGGTCAGGGGTATCAATGAGATACCAAAACTGCTGTATCTTCCAGTGAATATGACCCTTAAAACCACAGAACCATTCAATATTAACATTTAGGGGGGGGGGCTGCATTACATTAACATGTTTAAAAAAAAAAGTTTGTTGTATATCCTTTGAAAGAAATCATAAAGCAACCACATCATTTGTTGGATGTGGTTTTACTAGGCAATTTTACATTCAGTAGTTTGCCCCTGCTTTCAGAGCTAACAATGCTGCATACCACTGTCGAAATCAACAGAAAGTGATCTGCTGCCAAATCCCTTGCAGCTTAACCTAACTGGGTATTTCTGAATTGGCAATAGCATTCATAACCCCCTAAGCCAAGGCACAACTTCATAAAAATGGGCCTTTATATCTAGTTCTGATAATCTGATTCTCTTCTACTCAAAGAGCATGTTGAGAAAGGTGGAGACAGGCATGCTCCGTGCAGAGTGGTAAACACTGCTTCAGAGGTCGCAGCTAGTTGGCGTTGGTTAGATATTTTCTTCAGGTTATGCCAGTCTGTTGGAAAATGAGCAGGCAGATAGACTGGCCGGTTCTGCTCAACTTGGTGGTGAATTGATTCATGACAAGCTAGATGCTGTGAGGGCCCCTTTGGGAGCAAGTAAACAGTGCAGAGGCACAAACAGGGGATCTGGCCAACACTCAAGGGAAAGGCGACACAGTTGTACAATCCTACAGTTATTGGTACCATCGGGACTGGAACTCTTCATTTGCTGTTGAAGATGGGGACGGAGTGCTTATGAGAGTGTCCCGAGTGCTATGATGTCAATTCTAAATTCAACTATAAACTCCAGCACAAAGTTATGGTTTTTTTTGTCCATTTCTGAACTTATGTCTTGTTCCAGAACTTGAGTTTTGTGTGCACATCTGTTTTACAGATCAAGCTGATTTGTATGCAGCTTATTTGCTCCTTGCTTCTCAGGCAGATGCACTCCATCTTAGAAGAAAACTCCCCTAATTAGTCCCCTTGTATGACATGCCTGTTAGGGAGGCTTTAGGCCCCCGAACCACACAGGGATGTTCTGATAATAATTACCTTGAGCAGTCTCTAGTGGAGCGTAACGTATACAGACACCTTCCTTGTCTACCACCACCAGGTCAATAGGGACTCTTGGGTTTGATGACTGTAAGGACTCCGCCAGCTGGACATTGAAAGAACAAAACATATAGCTGTTAACAACAATCAAAACAACATTCTCCAGCAGCTAAATTTTTGCCAACCATCCACAGTGGCCTCTTATGACATGCACGGTAAGTGTTCCTTCCTAGTGTCTTCTTCCCTTAGGGACTTCTTCTTTCTATTCCCACTGTCAGTGCTTTTGAGATGAGAAAGACACCAGTCTATCTGCCTGCTCATTTCCCAGCACACTGGCATGACCTGGAGAGAATATCCCAAGGATGCTAACTACTCAGGACGTCTGAAGTGACGCTTGCCACTTTGCCCGTAGCATACCTGTCTCCACCTTTCTCAACATGCTCTGTGAGTCAATGGCTTCCTTGATCTAGGTTAAATTCTCCTCACAAGTGCAGCAGGGATGCAGTCCCTTACAGCCTGACACCTTGGCAACGGTGGTCACCGGCTCCTCAAAATAAATGTCACAGGAGACAAAAGGTTTCACTGATCTATCAGTAAATAAAATCCGGTTATGGGGTGAAGAAATAAAGCTGTATTAGTACTCTCTGAACTTGCAACTGCACTCCAAGCAACTTCATGAGTGCTCAGACACACTCAAAGAGAACATCACTGTACATATCTGGTAATCTGGTAATCCTAGTTTCAGCTTCATAGCAAACGGGTCACCCCACATATGCTCAGCTCCTGTGCCAACGAAAAACAAAGGCAGCTCACAGTGTCACGCCATGCACTCAACTCAGAAGCTGGGCGACGAAACTACCAACTGTACATATGCTGACCACTGACGTAGTCACAGGTTTCAATATACGTGTACTGTCAAATTTTATGTTCTTCCTTGACAGTGCACATAATCAGACCCACAACATCAAGTTCAAAAAGTTGTGAGAAAGGTGGAAAGTTACTGATACAAACATCATGTCCCATATTCAACTAATAACTGGTTATCCGTCCTCTAAAAGGAGGAATATTTCAGCCATATCAAGCATTACAGCCCATTTAAAGAAAATAATAGGACAAGGAATGAATGGTACCAGGATAGATGGGCAGAGGTCGTCCAGATTGAAGATGGGCACAGGATATAACTGACACCTTGGGTAGGAGTGCACAAGATGAGAGAACTGGGGAGAGACTGAGTTTCTATCAGGCAGACTGTGATGAGAGCGATGTTCTGCAAAAGGACCTGCTTAGGATGATGAGTAATAGGTGTGTATGAAGCAAGTTGGTGACAAATGGTAAGGTTGATGGACAAAGCTAAGGGAAGACAGAAGAGAGTTAAATACAGAAGAGTGTGGCTAGATGAATGGGATGGGACAAGATCAAAGACCTGATCCATTAATACAGGAACTGTGTGGGACGGGTCAACTGTAACTGCCTATGCTAATCAGCAGACCACATGATGATGATCAAGCAGCTCTCTCTTTGCTCTGTACTGACAGACCAGTACACTAGAAGATCTAAATGCTGGATAGTTTCAGCAAACAGGCATTGGTTTAGAACTTCTGAAGCTCACACACTTATAGCACAATAATTTGCCTCCAACCCTTTCACTTGTTTAAAATCTTTTGTAGACAGCAAGGCAACTTAGAAATATATAGAACAATACAAATAATAAAGTAGACAAAGAAAAAAAAGAAGGAGTAGGAGGAGAAGAAGAAGAAGCGTTTAATAACAAATATATAACTCCAGCACATACCCATGTATTGAGAGCATCAAAGTACATGCCATCCTTCTCCTCATTAGGATCTTCTACCTTGATGCTGGAGTAGGGAGCAATGACAGCCCCTGGAGAGGTCTCATCTTCCACATACCTGAACACCACCGTTGGGGTCATGATCTCAAACACCAGCTGCCAGCAGAAGACAAACACCAAATTACTAGATATTATATTGTACATCTTTATATTCTGAAACATGCTATAAAAGTTAGTAAGCTGTGCATCCTTTACAGAATTAACTCCAATTAATTTTTGGTTGTTCGGTTTTTCTACACACAAATATTTGGGGTAGGGTTTATTTTACAAACATAGTGAAAAAAATCATGCTAGGGCTTTCTTTTGGTTAGGTCTTATTTTACGAGAAATACAGCAAGAAGAGAAAACGTTGCCTGAAAACTTAATGTTATGACAGGGCAGACCAGGCTCTTAAAACCCACACAGGGAGCACATGTGATCCTGAGGGTTTGTTCCAACAATCAAGACGGCTGAACAACTGTCAGTGACACATTGGGCAAATGGGTTGAACCGTAATATTTGTATAAACCAATCAGCACTTGATAGGTGGTATCCCACAGACCACCTATACTTTCTAGAACTTTTCCGTTTACCCATTTTAAGAGATGTTTGCCCTAGATGCCCAGGTCACAACCAAGATAGAACAAAAACAAATGTACAAGGAAGATGGCACATAAGATGCACAAGAAAGATGAAATAAGTGATGTGAACAAGACAGACAGAATTAAGAATTCATGAAGGTAGAACAAACTTTCTTTACCACAGAGACAGAACAAGCAAAATGTACAAAATGAGAGTGCCAGGAAATTTTTTGGGAAGAAATGGTGGCCGCCATAAAACTGACAGACTATCTTGCACCGATTGGTCTATTAAAATATTACCTAGCACCACTTACCCAAAACACTTCAGGAGGTGGAAACAGGTCTCAACTTATTGTTTTAGTAAAGCCACAGCACTAACCACTATGCCCTTGTCAAGATACAAAACCACACGTCAAGCAGAAGCGGTCAGCTTCACTTTATCACAAACTACAAGTGAACATTTTCACGAGACAGCCTTTATCAGAACATTACATGAATATAAAATACCACAAATACGAACAAAAGATAATGCAAAATTACTCAACCGAACTATCTCTGAGAGTAATTCACATGTCTGGCCAGCTGAAGCTCTCAAATACTTGTGACCACCAGAAATAAATACTAGCCATAAAAAGCCATGAACGGCAAAGGCTGTATGTGTTAGGCATTAAGTAGCCTAGGTGATCTAGAGCCCATTAGATATACACCTTCATCATTATGCAGCTCACATAACTATGATGTATAACTATAGATTGACTGTACATACCAAGGCACTGACTGCTTTTGAAATAAGGTCTCGAACATTTTTCACTTCTTTGTCATGTCTCTTTTTCTCATGGCTCTGAAAGCAAAAATAAATGCAAAGGAATCTCATATCCATTATTTTTATAACTCAGTTCAACATCATCATCATCATTCAGGGTTCTTTCCTCAGTGATGGTGGACAATAATGTATCTGCAGCTGTTCTTTAAATTAGCGTTAGTCTATATTCTTTTAGGCTATATAACATGAGTGCATGAGGTCTATAATGCCAAACCCTTATTTTTAATAGACCGGTGAGAACCGAATAAAATCAGCTAGCAGCTTAATTGTACTACATGAGAACAGCAAGCTACAAGTCAAGAGGCGGACCCAGAAAGAAACGGGTGGAGGGAATAAAAGAGAATTAAGAAACCTAATGTGACATTAACACATGACACGCAAATAGCAAAAGACAGGAAACTAGATCCAGATCCTCTTTGCAACGCTTTACGGCATAAGCGGTAGGACAAAATAAGAAGACTGGTAGTTTATGTTTATGTGGTCAGCATATAAGAAAGAGATTAGGGGCTTTTGAGCTGAAATGCTATAGAAAGATTCTCAGAATATCTTGGACAAAGAAGATGAGAAATACTGACATCTTAGAAGATCTGAACATCAAGGAAGATTGGCTAATAAACAGCATCCTTTCTCGAAAGCTGAAATATTTTGGTCATATCAAGCGCCTTGACGGATTGGAAAAAAAATTATAGCAGAAGGCATGGTACCAGGAAGGAGGGGCAGGGGCCGACCGACACGAAGATGGGCACAGGATATAAGTGACTCCTTGAGTGTAAAAGTGCATGAGGCGGGAGAACTGGTGAGAGACCGAGTTTCTTTCAGGCAGACTTTGATGAGAGCGACATTCTGCAAAGGACCTGCTACATGATGGATGGTCAGCATATGCCACCAGCCCTTGCTAGCAAGGTTATTTTCTAGAACCTATTTCTCCTAGGCTGTATCCTGGCTACATTTTGCTGTTGTCTATACAGTGCAGACTGCTTTATGTGATCTTGGATTGACGGACTCAATTTAACGTTTACTGTATCTGTGAGATAAATCAATGACTGTAATCATAGAGTTAGCTGCACATCCTTTAATAAATCAACGACTGTAATCATAGAGTTAGCTGCACATCCTTTAATAAATCAATGACTGTAATCATAGAGTTAGCTGTATTTCCTTTAATAAATCAACGACTGTAATCATAGAGTTAGCTGTTCATCCTTTAATAAATCAACGACTGTAATCATAAAGTTAGCTGTTCATCCTTTAAAAAACACTGCAAACTAACCCTAGCATTTGTTGGCTGTCTGTGGTTGTGGTTACTTCTTTCTTTTGTCAATATCTGCTTATGCCGCTAGGCGTTGCAATTCATCTGACGAGCAGCTGCCGAGCCAGGGCGCGCTCAGCCGCTTGATAGGCCCTGATGTTGTGCAGTCTCAAGGTGTCAGTGACTCCTTCAGTCCATATTTTTCTCAGTCTTCCCCTGCTTCTTGGTGTTTCAGTTTTCAGGTTGTATGCTCTGCCTGCTGGCATCGTTGGTTTCATTCTCATTAGATGACCAAACCATTTCACTGTTTTATGTCAATCAATTTGATAATGGGTGTTGTTCCAACAGTTCTTGTGATCACGTGATTTCACTAGGCAATTTTTCGCATGACTGGATTGCAAAGACTGTACTTCAAGGAATACTGGGGGTAGTCGAAGAAGAGGAGCGTAAAGAAGAACCTGGAATGACAACATCTAGAAATGGCCAGGACTAAGTTATCATACACTTATTCATCATGCGGAAGAGAGAGAAAATTGGCGGTTTTTATGTGCAAGTGCTTCCATCACTTCACCTCCATGACCAAATGGGTAAAAGATTATGTTATACTAGGCAATTTTACATTCGGTGGTTTGCCATTGCCCACTGAAGAACACCCCTCCACACCACTGTCAAAATCAACACAGAGATGTTGCAGGTGTATTTAACCCTATCATCCTAGAAAAGCCACAAAATCAACAGAGATGTTGCAGGTGTATTTAACCCTATCATCCTAGAGAAGCCACAAAATCAACACAGAGATGTTGCAGGTGTATTTAACCCTATCATCCTAGAGAAGCCACAAAATCAACACAGAGATGTTGCAGGTATATTTAACCCTATCATCCTAGAGAAGACGCAAAATCAACACAGAGATGTTGCAGGTGTATTTAACCCTATCATCCTAGAGAAGCCGCAAAATCAACACAGAGATGTTGCAGGTGTATTTAACCCTATCATCCTAGAGAAGCCGCAAAATCAACAAAGAGATGTTGCAGGTGTATTTAACCCTATCATCCTAGAGAAGCCACAAAATCAACACAGAGATGTTGCAGGTGAATTCAACTCTATCATCCTAGAGAAGCCACAAAATCAACATTTTCCACCAGGGCAAAATCCCTGAAAATGTCACTTTCCTGGGTTGTATAAAGTGATCCGTTTACGAGACGTATAGTTAATGCTATTGGTCGAGTTTGTACCTTCGCAAACGTTTATGATGTCAGGATGTTAATATATTACTAAAATATAGGGGTTTCCTTTAATATAGTTTTTTTAAAGCTGTTGTCGTTAAATTTTCCCATAAGCCTTAGTGATAGAGGTCACAGGGTCGCGGCATGAGTCACCAAATATATATGTATGTGTGTGTGTGTATATATATATATATATATATATATATATATATATATATATAAGTGTGTGTATATAGACACACACATATATATATGTGTGTGCGCGCGTGCTTGGATCCATGCGCGCGCGCACGTGTGTGTGTGTATATATTCTATTTAATGCTTCACTCTGTTTATGTTTACGGATTACTACCATTACTGTTGTCACTCATTAAAAAACACAAAAATGCTTTCATAACGAATATAATTATCATGATTTTTAAAAAAAAACACAAGACTTCATTTTAAAAACTCCATTACCAACAATAAAGTCATATTCTGAACAACAAAGATGCAAACAACAGATTGCACAATTTATGAAATGTCATTTTTACTGAGACTTTAAAATGCTGAACAAAAAAATCGAACTCTAAATTGTATAGTTTTAAAACCAAGCTATATTTTTTTTAAATTCTAATGTTATCTCAATGTTAACAAATGCCACTGAAAGTTGGAGAGCCATTAGAGAAATGGAACAAAAGTTAAATGTATCTGAAAACAAATGCCTGAGGAAAATGTTGAACACAAAATGGGATGAATTCAAGAGGGGTGAAGAAATAGGAGAAATGTTTGAGCAACCATTGGTATCAAGTTTCTATAGTTATAAGACAAAGAAGACGGCGCTATAATGAACACATCTTTGGAAGAAATGAGGACAGAATCATCAAACAGGCACTCAAATGGGATTAAGGAAGCAAGGACGCCCAACAGAAATCCTAAAATGAACACTGATGAGAGAGGCCAAAGGGGATGGACTGGATTCCATCCATGATACTGAATTGATTACACACAACACAATGAGATGGACGAATATAGTGTGAGCCCTGTGTGACATATAATGGCACAAAAGTACAATAATGATGATGCTAAATATTCACCAAATCTCACAAGGGGCACACTACAGTAACAAATTTACAAAAGGGAAATACTACTTTAATTTTCTGCAAAGTCATACTTACTACTTGTTTTATGGTAGGAATCTTATCCAGGTGGTCAAATAATGTCTTTGCCTGGGGAAAAAAAATACACACCACATAATCACAAATCCATCATCATTGTTACAATGATTAACGCATAATGCATACATGTAAGTCAGGGCTAAATCTGGCCCGCAGAGGTCTAGCAAGTGGCCTGGGGAACATTGCCAGATGTGTTAATGATCTTTATATACTTGGGCTCGAAACCCTGGGCCCATGATGATCTTTATTTTCAAAATTCTGGGCCCGATAAAATCACACGAATATATAAATTTATAATGAGTCATGAATAATCAGACAGCCATGGAAAGATAGCAACCAGATGCTCGCCTGTCAGCCCCAGAGGTCTATGGTTCAAATCCTCAAAGAGGTTAATTTGTTTCAAAAGTGACCCTGACTCCCATGTTGACCCAACCTATAGTGGGCAGCAGGTAATGTTCTGGGAAGTAAAGACAGCCAGTATGACACTGACCACATCGCCCATTGAGTGCTGACTGGTGTATGAAAATATAGTTCTAACACTATACGTGTGATGTGCAAGAGGGATGTAAATAATTGTAATAAATCAAAACGTAGACTTGAAGTTACGCTTTCAACTATCTTGAAATGAACCTTGACGTAGACATGAAATGTACCTTGGTTTGCACCAGCTTTAACATCTAGGGTTGACAACACTAACGCCACTCAGCTTCATTGTACAATCTGTCAGTTTATTCTGGTCCATTTATTTCACTCGCGAAACATTCGAACATTAACCATTTGCCCGACATAAAGACGACATCTTCAAATACTACAACCGTCTGCTCTGACTTCTCATGATCGACTGACCACGAGGCTAGCTCGGGCTTCGCCTCGCTTACTCCCCCGTCCACAAGTATCTCGTGCCGTCACTTGTTGCACGGACTTCCTGCTTGCCACCATGTAATCGTGAGGACCATGCACAGCACCTCATCACATACTCCCCCCCCTTCTTAACAAAATGATACTTTATGGAACATCAAGTATCATTTTCCCTTTTACTGATAGATGACTCAATGGAACATAAATCTAACCTCAATTACCCTCAATTACTGCCCTTGGTTTCAAATTTTTTACTGTATGCTTTTTTGAAGTACTGATCTGGTGATGGGTATCTCATCTTTACACCTATTGCATCTGTAGTATAGCTTCATCACTATATCTATTTTATGATGTTCGAGTGAAATAATGATCATTGTGATGATGGTGATGTTAATGGTCAGCTTTGAGATATTTACTAGAGGGATAATAAATCAATTTAAATGTATTACTGCTAGGAATTATGGTTCCTTGATTATCCTTAATTACTACCATTTAAAACTGCCTTCAGTATTTACTGCATGCTTTCCCTGTACTGAGCTGGTGAAGAGTTTAAACCATCTTTGCACCTATGCATCTGTAGTATTGTCTATATCACTATATCTACTCTATCGGGTTCAAAGTGAAATGATGATAGTGATGATGATGATGGTCAGCTTTGAGATATTTACTACATAGAAAATTGGATTCAACCAATATTTCTACATCACCTTTCACAGGGTGTTAAACCCCAAGGACTCTTCGCCGATATGATAGTGATAAGATGATTGTCAGCTTTGAGATATTTATTACATAGAAAATTGGATTTAACCAATATTTCTACATCACCTTTCACAGGGTGTTAAACCCCAAGGACTCTTAGCCCGATATGATAGTGGTAAGATATATTTTTCATAGTGCTTCTAGTTTCCCAAAAGCCCCTATAGAACAACCTTCAACCAAACAATCAAGAGTAAACCTTAACAATCATCAAAAATTCACCTTTGAGATTGTCATATTTCCACCAAAATCAGAAATCACCAACCTGTACTGTACAGGGAATGAACAGAAACATTTCAGCCACTGAATTATTCAAATTTGAAAATCACCATGGACGACCAAACCAATAAAAGCGATTGTAATGAAAGACATTTCAACAGATATTATTCTAGGAGATCTGAGAGGTATCAAGGCCCGTTCTGAAGAAGATATAAGAGTCTGGGAACAAAGGCATCTCCATCAACAAAAATAAGAACAGCTAAATTAGGGAAAATTACCATCAACTGAAGTATCACTATTTACTAACTTGAAACTATACAGTCCATCATCCTGAACATCAACATCAATCTAACATATCACCATGCAAGAAGTTCAAGATTATTATCAGTCACAGAAACTAACATCTACACAGCAGAAGTACAGCAAATTTGAGAAAGAAGCATTAGCATTAGTTCTGAGTCTGAAGAAATTTCAAAAATATTTATTAGGGAAAGAATTCACTATCTTAACTGACAATTTAGGTCTTACCAAATTGATGACCATGGAGTCAACAAACAACGCTAGAGTGTACAGATGGGCTCTATTGATTGCACAGTTTAAATTTAAAATACAGCACATCAAAGGCATCCATAATCACCTGCCTGATGTAATGTCAAGATTGTAAGTCTTAATCTAGTATGTATGGTTTTGATTATCTGAAATGTTATGTTATTGTTGATCGACACATATGATTATTATATATGTATATATATTGTGTACAAATTGTATATATCATGTCATTGTGACGAATACTGGACACAGACATAAGGTGACGTGACGAAATAGTTTGGAATTAGATATGAATATTTATTAAATACAAAATGTAAACAATATTTCAAAATTCAAAATGCAAAGTTGTGACGATGAAATATGCTATTTAATGTTTTGAATATGTAATGTCACTCTACAATTGAAATGTATACAGGAAATTTAAGTGATACATTGTAATATTTTTGAAAACGTAAAGGGAGATAATTATTAGAAATGTAATAAAGACTGGTGGGAAATCACTATAGGTAGGGGAGATAAAATCCATAGCACCTATAAGGGGAAATAAATGAATATCCAATGGAAATAACATCAGTGGATGTTTAGTGAGTGTAGTGGCAAGGGTGGGACTTTACGGGTTTACATTATTGTTCCATAGCCGTTTTGGATTTCCGCACTTGGAAGAGTAGTGCCTGGGGTGATTTTCTGTCGTTTGACAGACTGTGGAATGAGGTGGGAAACGCGTAGAGCCTTTATGGTCTTCCGCAATTGAAAGAGTATTGCCTGGGGTGTTGATTCCATTACGCCACATAATACTCACTGGGCATGACAACTGACAAAAGTTCCAAAGAAAAAACATGAATTACCCAAAGGGATGGAGTAAAATTTTTACCTCTGATATCAGTGAAAATACCCAAGCATTACATAATGTATACTCCTATCCATTAACGATAAATACGGGGAAGGGAGAATGTAATGGGGGATATTTTCACCCAGTTTAGGATGGTTGGGGGGAAGGCCCAAAGCTGATCTAAAACACCGAGATAGTCCAGATACTTGGATTAAACGAGAATCTGGAGATAGGTGACTAACCACTGGTTATCACGGGGACCACGATGATGCGACCCAAGGTCGCCACGTGAAAAGTAAAGGACCACCACGTGTTGTCACGTGAAACGAACCCGTGGTATAAGTCAGACTTGACTCTGGTCAAGTTTAGTTGGTGTCGACCTGTTGGAGTGAGAGGACGAGCGTCTGAATGTGAGAATGTCTACGTGAGTGCCTGAGGAGAAAGGAGACCTGCCGACGAAGTGTTAAGCTGAGATCGACCATGCCAGCGTGTGAGATGTCCAAACATCAATGTTGAATCCATGGGACCCATCGTTGCTTGAATGCCTGCAGAAGACTGTTCGTTGAAGGCTGCGTGAGTTTGTGTACGAAAGCTGTTCACTAGGACACCGACTGGACTATTCTGTTTTGTCGTAAGTCTTAATACGTCAATAAATTCATGTCTCGTAAGCTCACATCGGTGTCGGCTTGTGCCAGTTGTGTAACGTGGAGCGTGTGAGAATATCATCCACCACACACGCATGAACACTGCCTAGACAACGAGTAGAAATACAAACCACTTATTACAATAATCAATTTTTCTCAGAAAAATCATAGAATATGGCTGTGACTGTGACGTTCATTAAGGAGAATTGGCTAATAAACAGCATCCTGTCCCAAAAGTGCAGGTATTTTGGCCATGTTAAGCGTCATGGTGGCCTAGTGAGAATGATGATGGAAGGTGCAGTTTCTGGAAAAACGGCAGAGGCTGACGTCCCTGAACCCCGATACCAGACATCAAAGATGCATTGGCCATGAAATGAAAGCACATAGGGTTGGAGAATTGGCTATAGAAACTGAGACTTTCAGGTGTGCCTGCTGACTGATCATGACTGTTGCATTACACATGGAGAGAAAAACTTACTCACTTTACTCATAAACCTTCGATAGCATATCAGCTCAAAAGCCCCTATTTTCTTGCTTAATTAATGGTTGCAAAATGGTCCACGGTTCACACCCCTAACAAGAAACACTTTACAAAATCAAATGATCAAAATGTCTCACCAGTTCACAGGAAAACTTGATCTTGGCAACCATGCCTTCATGCCCAAGGCTCTGTAGACACATCCACAGAGGGAGACACCTTAGCTGGAGTTTAGCATTAACTGTGGTCAGACCAGCGGCTTCGGTCAGCAGTCGGTCAGAGTCCTTAAACAAAGTCTGTGATATGCCAGTTAAGGTCTGAGTCTTTTAAGATTTGTTAACAATCTAGTTGATGTATGACAAAGGAAATGACAAAATCAACTTGAAGAAATGACCCCAAGGCAGTTTACTTTCAAGATAACCTCATTAGAAACATTTTAAGTGTTTCAAGATAAAATAGGAGATATTATCCTATTTTCCATGTATAAGATACCCCCACGCATAAGACACCCCTATTCTTTTAGTACACACACACACACAAAATATTATAAGCATACTCCATCTATAAGATGACAAAAAATTGTAAACTTAAAAAATTTGGGAAGATATAGTCTTATATATTGCAAAATGTGGCACATAACTGGGAGCTATGGTAGCACAGTGACTAAATGCTTGCCAGGAGTCCTCGAAAGACTTGGGTTCGAATCTGGCAGTCAGATTTTTTCCCCCCGAAATAGTTCTTGGCTCACAAGTCAGCCCAGGCTAAAATGGGTACTAAGTAATGTACTGTGAAGTAAAGGCAGATGGCAAGATAGTGACGTCACCAGCCAAGTGATGTCTGGTCTATAGAAATAAGGGTCTAGGATCATACTCCAGATGTGCCGCGGACGTAAAAAATTTGTCTTTACTTACCTATTACGTAACTCTTTGAAAGCTAAGGGTTAAAACTAGTGCTTGATAAAGTGGTGAATACTGAGTATTATCACTTCACCAATTTGCAATCTGCCAAAGGATACAATATAAGGCAGTGAAGGAATTCCGAGCCAGCTGGTGAGATCTAGAGTGATACTGTCTCCTGAGGTCGCTGTTTCTATAGATGTGGGCACCGAAAACATGGTCAATGTTGCCAGATTGTTCCTGAAATTTAAACCAAAACTTAGTCTATGCTCAAATAATTAATTTTTTTAAATTCCTGATTAACGTGTTAACTGTGCACACAAATAAAATAAACATGCAAAGACAAACATAAGTGACCCAAATAAAAAAGAGTAGAAATGATAGTCTGCTACAGGATTTAAGGAGGTTAAAGTTTAAGGTCACAGTTAAAAATAGGATCAACTACACTGTACTGGGTTTCATCCTATATGGCCCAGTCTCTCTCCACAGAATGACAAGCTGCCTGCCCAGAGTGTCACATAAAGCACAAACGACATTGCTCTGGTCAAAATCTCGAGCAATCTCCATAATAAATTGCACTCGGCGCTGCTGTGAAACTACCTATGACCTTCAGAGTGGGGGGGAAATGGCCTGACCACTGAAGACTCCCACTTTTTCTTATTACATAACTCCATTTAAGGATGTATCTGCGTGTAAAACAAATTTTTTCACAAACATAAACACAGATATGATCAAAATGAAAGAAGATGGAAACAATGTACAACCTACCCTTCCACATGCAGCCATATACCATTGGCTTTGGAGATCTCTTGCAGCCTCTGTAGATTGTCCACATGGCCTACAATGGGAGTTCCTGCCAGGAAACAAAAAAAAAATTATATTGCATCAAAAACACTTTGTTTAGTTTCAAGTATTATAAACACTAGTTGCTCACATACTGGCCCCAATGTGAGGTACAAATTGACACTGTGTTCTTCTTCTTTGTGTTCACGGTCTGTAAACTCTGGCAGAAAGTTTTGGTTGCCATCCACCTCTGGACTTTAATCTTGTTCCACAGCCTGAGTGTTGAGTGAACATCCGTTTGACATATCTGACATTGGTATGCCGACTGTTGGTTCACAGTCTCTCAGGCAGATGCACTCCAACTCAGAAGGACATCCTCAGTTAGTCAACTATTACGATATGCTTGCTGGGGAGACAGTGAGTCTATGCTTGTGAGTCTTATGTTTTCCCATAAAGTGGCCCTGGAACCCAAAATGTGTTACATATTCAAAGCTGAGCTTGGCTCCTAAGGCTGGCACCGCCTAAATTGGGCAGCAGGTAATCAACCACAACGTCAATGAATGCCAGTTGGTCTATAAAAATATGAGTCTAGTATCATGTGCCCAGTATCATGTGCCCAGGAGCCGCCGTTGGTGTAGCGGCTAGATGTTCACCTGGGGATCTGAAGATCACGGATCTGGGTTCTGACAGAGCCCAACTTTTAAACAAAATGACTTTGGTTCCAAGGTTGACCCAGCCTTTAAATGGGTACCACATAAAGTTCTGGGAAGTAAAGGTGGCTGGCGTTATGTTGACCAAGTCACCCACAGAGTGCCAGTTGGTCTATAAATATAGGCACTATGTGCCTAATATGTCCGAAGGCATGAAAAGTATCCTTTCCTTTACTTTTATCATATGCCCTCATGCTCCTGTGGATCCATTACTTACATAGTACGGACACTTCTAGAAAAAAAAAAGAGCAGTAAGACAGACAGCATCAATAAACAGATATGTTTGTTTGTTTGTTTGCTTTAGTATCCAGAAGCCATGAGTTGTTAACCCTTAGGCTCGGTATTATGGATATCGCAACCTTTCGGCCTTGATTTCATTGTAAATACTGTAAATCTGGGAGAAATGAAGCTTTTCTGCCTACCCCCGGGAGTGAACCCGGACCACAAGGAGTTCGTCACCCGCTCACAGCGTAATCCGGTTTAGCCAACTATGCTAGAGAGCCGGGCATAAACAAATATACATTAGCTAGCATAACACATCTGATCTTTCTTTTGCCCATTTTCTGCTTAGTGCTGCTGGGCGTCGCAGGTTACCGGATGATCGGTTTCCAGATCAGGATACGCTCGGCATGCTGTGGTGTTGTAGAGTCTCAAGGTATCAGTGACATCTTCAATCCATCATCTTCGAGGTTTGTCCCTACCTCTTGGTGTTTCTACTTTCATGCTGTATGCTCTCCCTTCTTGCTTCACTGGGTTCATTTTCGTTAGCCAAACCATTTCAGTTTTTGTTTTTCAATGAATTTAACTATAGGTGTTGTTCCAACATTTCTGTAATTTTTGTGGGGTTTCCCACATGATCTTTTCTAGTTTTGTTCACGGTCTTTCTCAAGCATCTCATTTCCCAGAAGGTTATTATTTTGTTGTGTTCTTTAGTAAGTGTCCAAGTCTTAACACTGACAGCACAACACTAGAAGAGAAACTGCAAGATTAGATATATAATTCGCCTTTTTATCTCTACTGGGACAATCGGGTGTTTCAAAACTGGGGTCAGCTGATGTGTTGTGATATTGCTGGCTGGATGTATTCTTAAAGCACATCTAGGAAACAAACTGCAGCTCACCACAATGCTTCAGGACAAAGTGTCAACCATAATAATGAACAAAACATATCTTCTCCTGAATCAACAGTAGACAAATAAGGCAAAATAAACAGTTTAAAACAATGGCTAACAAGAAATGCATCACTCAACTACTCAACTGTCCTCTATTACTGAAAGAGTTAAATGAACACATAGAAATTCATGCTTATTCTTTTCTCAAAGGGGCAGAGTGATCAGCATATTTGCTTCCAACACTATGGTCTGGGATAAATCCATAGTACCGGTCATTTCAGACCAGTCCATAAGTAGTACAAGACAATGTATCTGTGCTTTATAGCTCGAATTTCTGATGACTGACTGGTTCATGAAGAGCAGAAAACAGTACATGTGTGCTTTATAGCTTGAATCTCTGCTTTATAGCTTGAATTTTTGATGACTGACCGGTTCATGAAGAGCAGAAAACAGTATATGCGTGCTTTATAGCTGGAATCTTTGATGACTGACTGGTTCACAAAGAGCAGAAAACAGTACATGTGCTGTATAGCTTGAAACTCTGCTTTATAGCTTGAATCTCTGCTGTACAGCTTGAATCTCTGCTTTGCCTTAATTCCTGAAGGATGGATAATGAGGAGCAGAAAACATGCTATCTGTGCTTTACAGTACCACATATGAAAATAAATGGTATATGAGAGGTAGAAAACAATATAAGTATCTTTTGCAGCAGGGCTATTCAACTGGCAGCCCGCAGGCCTACTTTTGCACGCAGAGGCCTAACAACTGGCCCCCTTATCATTGTCAATTGTACAGTATTAATGATCTTTTTATGCTGGGGCTTCAACCTTTGGCTTATGATCCCCACTTTCAACATTTTGGACTTAGCTGAACAGAGAGGCTTCTAGAGTTAACCCCTGATGGTACTGAAGGGAAGAAAGTGTGATTTATAGATTAGTTTTATAACAGAATAGTACACAATAGTATATCTGTGCTCTACAGTGCAAACACTGTTTCCCAGTGTGGGTTCAGGGGCCCTGTTATAGGGAAAACAATAATAGAACCTACCCAAAAGCATGTCGTAAGAGTCGACTAATTGGGAGCTTCCTTCAAAGTCGAAGTGCATCTGCCTGACAGGCAAAGAACCAATAGTCATAAAAATCAGTAAGATCTGTCAAACAGATGCACATGCAACACTAAAGTTCTGGAACAGGACTGCAGTCCAGAAGTGGACGAACAACCAGAACTTTCTGCCAGAGTTTACAGCTGGTGAACGTGAAGATAAGTGCAAACACTGAAACCAAATAGTTCAAGAAAGAGGGGCAAACAACATGAAAACAAAATCTAAACAAACCTGCATAAGCGACAATCAACACTGGAGTCTTAGCAGCAGCAATGTCATCTTGAATCAACTTTTCCAGCAACGCCACATCCTGAATCACAATGCAGACAAATGATGAACAAGCTTATAAAACATCATCTAGCCTAAACTCATCATCATCATAGTCCCGAAATACTGTGTGTCAGTGGCTTGCCAGTTGCTGCTGAGACTGATCAGCATATGTACACACAAAACATGTATACAACCTTACAACAGGCACATATGTACTCACAACATATTTATACAACCTTACAGCTGGCACATATGTACTCACAACACATTTATACAACCTTAAAACAGGCACATATGTACTCACAACACATTTATACAACCTTAAAACAGGCACATATGTACTCACAACACATTTATACAACCTTAAAACAGGCACATATGTACTTACAACACATTTATACAACCTTAAAACAGGCACATATGTACTCACAACACATTTATACAACCTTAAAACAGGCACATATGTACTCACAACACATTTAAAGAACCTTACAGCTGGCACATATGTACTCACAACACATTTATACAACCTTACAGCTGGCACATATGTACTCACAACACATTTAAAGAACCTTACAACTGGCACATATGTACTCACAACACATTTATACAACCTTACAGCTGACACATATGTACTCACAACACATTTATACAACCTTACAGCTGGCACATATGTACTCACAACACATTTATACAACCTTACAACTGGCACATATGTACTCACAACACATTTATACAACCTTACAATTGGCACATATGTACTCACAACACATTTATACAACCTTACAGCTGGCACATATGTACTCACAACACATTTATACAACCTTACAGCTGGCACATATGTACTCACAACACATTTATACAACCTTACAGCTGACACATATGTACTCACAACACATTTAAAGAATCTTACAATTGGCACATATGTACTCACAACACATTTATACAACCTTACAGCTGGCACATATGTACTCACAACACATTTATACAACCTTACAGCTGACACATATGTACTCACAACACATTTAAAGAACCTTACAATTGGCACATATGTGCTCACAACACATTTATACAACCTTACAGCTGACACATATGCACTTACAAAACATTTCTACAACATTACAATTTAGTACATTGCTTGTAATTGGCACCCTTCTGCCTCTCCAGATGATAGTGTTATATTATTCTAAGGAAAGACATGAGATTCAAAGCCCCTGGCGATGGCAAATGTTCACTAGCAAGACCTGCCCACATCAAGAAAATCCTTCCACAATTACAGCATGGAATTTCAGGACCATTGTTTCCTCCTCTCCATAGCATAAAGCCTCTGCAGTATTCTAGAGACCATGTGTTGCCCATGCTTCACAATCACTTTCTCGGCCTGCCTTGTTTACTCCAAAGGAGAGGTAACACCAACACATTTTAAACACACAACAAAAGGCTAAACAGAAGCTGCCGGATCAGAGGATGGTGTATGTCCACCTCTCTGTATATCCACCTGTGGAAGCTTCCCTACATTTCTGTGAATTGTAACTGCTTGTTTTTTGTTTCCTTCTTAAAAAATAAATTTTAAGGAAGGTCATTTATACAAAACAAAAGGGTTCAAATTCACAAAACTATCATGATGGTGCTGTTGTGCCACGACGAGTCACACATGGCTCACAGTCTATTCTTACATTTAATTCTGTCCTAGGTAATTGTTTAAAAAAAAATGCTTTATTAATATTCTACCCCCAGATGACATCACAGGAAAGTCAAACATTTTTGAATGTGGTAAGACTGGGTTTCCCGGCTTTCTGATGCTTTTAAACGATCCCAAAACATCTAGAACTGACCCTAACCCCAACCCACAAGAGAGTGCAGCCTAGGTCCAAAGACTGCATGCAGCCTATCTACCACCCCCCTAAAATATAAGACTGTCCCGTGACCTGTCGATTCCCCCTGTTTAGGGTGAGATATTAATAAAGCACCCCCCCCCCCCCCCAACAAAAATACACATAATGTAAACATTCTACATATATACACATATATGATGCTCAAGCATGACCTACCATTTTACTGCTGGCTCCAAACAAAGTGTTACAGGGCACATTACAGGCACACGACAGAGGCAGTCCCAGCTGCAGAAAGGGATCGACAACAAACTGTCCAGTTAGCAAGTACAACCCAAGTAATGATATTTTAGAACCTCTAGCACAGCGGTTCTCAACCTGCGGTTGCGACCCCTTTTTGGGGTCGAACGACCCTTTCAATAGGGTCGCCCAAAACCATCGGAAACCACATATTCATTGAAGTTATAAAGGAAAATAATTGTTTGGGGGTCGCCACAACATGAGGGAACTGTATTAAAGGGTCGCCACAACAAGAGGGAACTGTATTAAAGGGTAGTGGTATGAGGAAGGTTGAGTGCCACTGTTCTAGCATTTTCATTATTTCTTTCATCTTTGTATTCTAAGCCTCACATGACAATGGTAAATGTATCACAGGGCTTTGCATACCTAAATAACATACAGAATGCCTTATTTGTGAGTTATTTTGAAACCTATGATTCTTCATTTGCTATCTCTTGTATATTGTAAAGTGTAAATGAAAACAAGATGAGATAACTGGAAAATTGCTTTGCTTTTTAACTCTCCATCTTTCAGAGTCATTTACATAATTTCTACACTTGTCAAGTAGAAAAAGAACTGAATGTTTGCTTTTTTAAACATCTATGTTTCTCTCAGAGTCCATTTACATAACTGTGTTCACTTGTCTGACAAAAGGAACTTAAACAGTTTAAACAACAACAGAAAGGGCACCGAGCACATGCATACACACACAGAGAAAGAGAGACAGAGAATCAGAGAGAGAGAGAGAGAGTGGGAAGAGAGAAAGAAACTGAAAAAGAGAGACAGAGAGACGAAGACAGTGAGAAAGAGACACACACAGACAGAGAGAGACCAAGAGAGAGAGAGAGAAAGAGACTGAGAGAGAGAAAGAGAGAGAGAGAGGGAGAGAGAGAGAGGGAGGGAGGGAGGGAGAGAAAGAGAGAGAGAGAGAGAGAGAGAGAGAGAGAGAGAGAGAGAGAGAGAGAGAGAGAGAGAGAGAGAGAGAGGTTACTGTCAATAGTGCAACACAAGGAACAAACATAAAATAAGTCAGCTCTACAGGATCACAATCGCAAATAACTAAGTCGACAGTGTGCTGGCAGAGCCTTCCTCAGCAAACTGAAACTAAATTAATCATATTAAAATTTAATTATTTGTACATAAGTACAAGGTGATTTGCCCGAGTGTAGCCGCCAAACTTTCTCCTGCAGATCCAAGCGCCATGAGCTGAAATTTATATGGAGCCCAATTTTTTTTTTTTTTTTTCAAAAATGACATTGGCTCCCGGGTCAACACAGTATTAAATGGGTACCAGGTACAGTCATGGGAAGTAAAGGTAGCTGGCATGATGTTGACCATATCACCCACTGAGTGCGATTGGTCCAAAAAATATGTCTAGCCCTATGGGCCCAAAAATATCGAAGGCGAGAGAAGAAGTGCCCTTTACTTTACTTTAAACAAGTGCAATGATGAAAATGAAATAAATTGGGAATGACAGTATTACTCATATTAATAAATGGGGTATTATATGCTATCGTGTCAGCACATGTGGCTTAGTGCAATAAATACAGTTCCATAATTCTGACATAACCAGTTTGATTCATCTGTAACTTATTTAACAGCAAACCAAACTGAACTGACTTCCACAATGGTATGAGACTAACATTCAGAAAGCGATGGCAAACTACTGAGAGTAAAATCACAAGCAGCAAACAAATACTGTGGTTGGTTTGCAATGCTGTGAAAAGAATACAAAATTAACTTTTACATTTTTGTTGTTGTTGAGTCAACATTGCTAAAACCAGACTACTGACCTGTTGACATAAATACTGCCCTAACCCAGGTGGCGCAGCAGCACTAACGTATATCACAGGCGGACGAGAGTACAGGGCCTCAAACCCTTCCGTTGCATATTTTGGGTATTTAGTATAGAGGGCTAGCTGGCCAATGCGTGCAAGCCCTTCGTATCGACGATCATGGTAAACGGGCACTGAGTTTTTGAACCTGGAACACAGTCAGGGTTCTTACAAACAAAGGTAACACTTTCATCAGACTTTAAACAAAAAAATCATAACCATAACCGCTGTACAAGCTGACCATAAGATTCTAGGCTAAAAATTCTAAGTTAAGCCTATACCTGCCCAACACATTTTATACCTGCCATTTAACTCCTTCGGTCCCAAGGAACGCATCATACATTCACAGGTTCCTATCTGAAGCCCAACTAACGCAGGATAAGCCGATTTTACGTCTCTCTTAGCTATCCACTGAGTCTGCGAGGCTAAACCCTTGTGACTGAAAGAGCTAAGTCGACTTCTAGTTATTTGTTGAAGATTTTTTTAAGGTGTGAAAATTCGACTTATACATTGCAGTTTATGGTAGCTATTATTGTGGGGTATTTTAGATGGTTGTGAATAACAAAAAGAATGTCAGAGATTACTTTTTCCCCAAACAGGTTCCTGGACTCTTTGGGGAAGAGGGAAAGGGGGGGGGGGGGGTGAATAGGTCCACTGACCCTCTAACAAGCATATGGTAAAAGTCGACTCATTAGAGGCCTGTCCTTTAAGGTTGAAGTGCATCTGCCTGAGAGGCAAGGAACCAACAACCTGCATACATATAAGCCAGATCTGTAAATGGGATGTGCACACACAACTCCTGGCACAAGGTCAATGTCCAGAAATAAACAAACAACCAGAACTCCACAAAAGTTTACAGTCAGTCAATGCTGAGATGACGATACTTCATACAATTGTGGGTCTCACAGCAAAGTAGTTCAGCCGTTTGACTTGCCTACAAGGTTGTGGGTTCGGTTTCATACTGTTGTTCGGTTCATGAGTGCAGGTGTTTTTGAGATCAATGAGGTCGCTGTTGCTGGTACTGCAGAGTTTCATGATTTGTGTGACTCTTAGCGAATGAATAGAGGAGAGACCAAGCCATGTGGGATAATACTCAATAAAGTCATTCCTCTCGCCTTTAAATACACATGAATTGTCAACATATATCAATATCATCATCATTTCAGTTGTTGGGTGTTCATGAAGCTTCCTGATCATTCCACTCCACAGTCATCTGTCTCTTTAAATCTTTGCCTGACTGATAGTTCTGTGCTTGGCTGTTTTATAAGTTGTCCTTAGTCTACCTTGGTCCTTCCTTTCCCATAACTGTTTCCTCCAGGGCTCTGCATTTCTCCATGTCATAGGGTATGACCAAACCACGTGAGCCTACAATCTTCAAAGTTAATAAGAATAAAGAACAGACGAGTGGAAATATCTAACTAAACATTACATATAAATGGAATATGTGCAACAGCTCTATACTAAGTCCACCTATGATGAGAAATTAAGCTTATATCATTAATCAAAATGGATCTCCAAGAAATTAACTTTTTACAGTAAATCAAAATTGATCTCTATCACACTGTTTTTCTGTCTGGTAGTATACTCTCTTGGACTGCTGTTTGTCCATCTCTCAATGTTATCCTCCCACTTTTATCAATATCTACTTCTTGCTCATCTGCCTTTAATTTTTCTGTCCAGTATGGGTTTTTTTAAGAGTTAGGCCTTTTAATGTGGCTGAAAAATTTAACTGATGATATTTTTTCAACATTGTTTCCATTATATTTATAATAAGATATACTGAATACAAAATAATTTCATACGGTAGCTGCTAATTAGAATTTGGTATAATAATGAACTTTTAAATGAACTATTTGAACTTGAACAAGTCAAAAAATTAAAAAAAATTATTTAACAAATATGTAAATTTCATACAAGGGAGATGAATGGTCGTAGACCACGAGGCAGACCAAGAAGAAGATGGAGAGATAATGTCCAGACAGACCTGCAAACACTTGGTGTCACCAACTGGAAAGAGAAGGCCAACCACAGAGATGAACGGAGGCGGGTGATATCTGCAGCAATGAATCTCAAGGGTTCGGAATGCTGAAGAAGGCTAACCACAGAGATGAACGGAGGCGGGTGATATCTGCAGCAATGAACCTCAAGGGCTCGGAATGCTGAAGAAGGCCAACCACAGAGATGAACAGAGGCGGGTGATATCTGCAGCAATGAACCTCAAGGGCTCGGAATGCTGAAGAAGAAGAAGTAAATGTCATACCTAAACAGGCGGGAAAGCCAGAGTTTGCAGTCTGAGTCGAGCTTTGCTGCAGCTCTTTCTAACGTCGCTGGTTCTAAAGTGGTGAAGTGAGCGGCTAGACTGTGAGCTGTTACAGCCAGCCTGCCAGCCTCATTGAGTTCCTGAAGCTTGGCCGAGTCACTGGAATACAATGTTACAATGTTAAATTCGACAACTGACAATCCTAGCTAGCAGACGGACATGAGAACTCTTCTTCTTCGTCTTCTTCTTTGCTCAATGAATGTCAGCTCTGGCAGAAACTCCTGGTTGCTTGTCCATTTGGACTTTGGCTTCGTGCCAAGGCCTGAGTTTTGCGTTTACATCTGTTTTACTGGTTTATTTGTGGGAAACAACTGGTTGTTCCTTGCCGCTCGGGCAGATGCACTCCGACTTCAAAGGAATACCCAATTAGTCATTTCTTATGACATGCTTGTTGGGGAGGCAGTGGGTCTATTCTTGTTTTCCCACAATGGGGCCCCGGAACCCTCACATAGAAGACAAGACAATACATTACCAAGATTGACATGGCAGTGCAGTAGTTAGTCCACTGGCTTACCAACTACAGTGGTCAAGGTTAAGTTGGCAGCAGGCAACTGAGATCTACCCAGCTTCTTTAAATGAGAAAAAAAAGGGTGACTGCAGTCAAGCTAAAGTGTTGTGGTGTTTTGTGCCTGTTGTTCTGCTTCCTCATTTCGTTAAGCTTTCTAGTCACAGTTCACTGGATTCATTTCTGTAAAGGAGCAGAGATGCCACCACGAGAGGCCATCTGACGAGATTGCCCCAGTACCAACCAACATAGACAGCCATGCTGAAGATATATAATGAATAGAGCAAGGAAGGAATGAATATGGAAGGACACATCAAGAACAGCCTTAAAGAATCTTCCCCCCCCCCTTTTCCTCCCAATCCCCAAAACTTTGATGAAGACTTCTTCTTTTCTTCACGTTCGCTGGCTGCAAACTCTGGCAGAAAGTTCTGGTTGCTAATCCACTTCTGGAATTTAGCCTTGTTCCAGAACTTGAGTTCCTCATGTACATACATTCAACAGATCTGGCTTATTTGTATGCAGACTGTTGGTTCCTCACCTCTCAAGCATGTGCACTCCAACCTGAAGGAAACTTTGAGGAATTAATTGGAGGCAGTTTAGAAAAACAAGTTATGTCCCTGATATCACTGTTGCAGTTAAAAGAAGAATTAAAGTATAATTACTTTAACTTTATTGAACATAAGGTCAGGTCCTGATGGAGCCAGGTTTTTTCAAAAATGACTCTTACTCCCAGGTCAACCCAGCTTTAAATGGATACAAAGTAAAGTCCTGGGAAGTAAAGGCAGCTGACATCATACCGCCCACATCACTCACTGAATGTTGATTGGCCTATGAAATATAGATCTAGCCCTGTATGCCCTATATTAAAATATTTAGCTCTAATATCAAACCAGTACTGTTGGAAGGAGCAGAAATATGGAGAACTAAAATGATTACTAATGAACAATGAACATTCATTAAATGCTGCTTGCGCTAAATAGAAGAAAGACAGAATCACTAATGTGAAGCTTGGGAGAAAACTGATTTAAATCCAGTGAATCAAAAGATGAAGAAAAGGACTGGATGAGACTCATTTTCAGAAATTGTGGGAACAACATTACTTTGGAACCCACAAAGGCATAGAAATAAAGGCAGGCCAAAAACCACAAGGAGAAGAAAACTAGAGGGTGACATTGAAAAGACAGGGAGGACATAGGGTAAGCTGTAAGCAACAGCAAAGAATAGGACAACTTGGCATCAGTTCATTAGGTTCATTCTCTTTTACTCACTTAATCTGAACTTCTTCTTGTCCGCTGGTGGCCTCTTCATAAAAGATGAGCTGGTCGAGCAGCTGCATGACTTCTTCCTCTTTCTTGCCCCTGATATGAATACAAAAGTAACAGGTAAATAAAAGCTCCGAGGACAAAGCAAGTGGCAAGAAGCTGGGCTCCTGGTTTAAGGATTACAACATTAGATCAAAAGGCTTCTGGCCTTAAGATTGAAAAGTAACTGATAATCTAAAAGCCTCTGCAGAGAGAAGTCGATAAATAAGCAGACAAATTAGATGAGCATGACAAAGCATGGTAAATCAATTAGACTAAAATAAAGATATAAGTAACAAGTAAAAGGTTTTGTTTTTATGTCCTCACCATACGTATAACAAGTAAAAAGCTTCGTTTTATGTTGATGGTTAAAATGTCCTCACCATACGTATAACAAGTAAAAGGCTTCGTTTTATGTTGATGGTTAAAATGTCCTCACCATACGTATAGCAAGTAAAAGGCTTTGTTTTATGTTGAAGGTTAAAATGTCCTCACCATATGCATAATAAGTAAAAGGCTTTGTTTTATGCTGAAAGTCACAATGTCCTCACCATACGTATAGCGAGTAAAAGGCTCCGTTTGATGCAAAAGGTCACAATGTCCTCACCATACGTATAACAAGTGAAAGGCTTTGTTTTATGCTGAAGATCACAAGGTCCTCACCTATATGCCTTCCAGGAAAAAAAAAAGTTCTTGCTGTCTTCTTTGATCTCTCTCGTGCTTTTGATACAGTTTGGAAAGAAGGCCTAAAACTGCTACAGGCAGGAGTTGTGCACAACATGTACAAATGGATCAAAGACTTTCTTTTCCAACGCAGAGCCAGATTCAGAATTGATGGACACATCGGCAAACTGGCAAAACTAAGAGAAGGAGTTCCCCAGGGCAGTGCAATAGCACCAACTCTGTTCCTGGTTTACATAAATGATATCACAGCAACCTGCCACCAGCACGTTTCTAATACCCTACATGCCGATGACTTTGCAGTTTGGACAGCCTCCGAATACACTACCACAGCCTCATATCTGTTACAAAAAACTGTGGAAAATGTAGAAGCCTGGACCGAAAAGTGGGGTCTAAAGCTAAATAATTCAAAAAGCACAGCATCACTTTTCTCTCTCTCCCCAAAAAAGAAAAAAAATCAAAATTTGGATTAAAAACCAGCTCATTCCACAGACTGACACTTCTACCTTTCTGGACGTTACACTTGATTCGCGACTAACTTGGAAGTCACATGTAGAAGCAGTACAGGGAAAAGCATTCAAGAAGCTTGCAGTGAAGAAAAAATTAGCGGGTACCACATGGGGCGCCAACTCTAGAATCCTAAAAAAAGTATATACTGGAGCAGTCAGGCCAGTCATGGAATATGCCTCCACTGCATGGGCTGAAGCAGCCAAGACAACAATGGGAAAACTAGACAAGGTTCAGAATATGGGATTAAGGATTGTGTGATGACCCTGCTTTGCATTGTCTCCACGAGTACATTGTGGCAAGCAGGAAGTCCATGCTACAAGTGACGGCACGAGATACTTGTGGCCGGTAGAGTTAGAGTAAGCGAGGCGAAGCCCGAGCTAGCCTCGTGGTCAGTCGATCATCAGAAGTCAGTGAAGACGGTTGTAGTAATTGAAGATGTAATTTTTATGTTGTGAATAGTTAGTGTTTGAATATGTCGCGAGTGAAATAAATGTGAAATAAATGGACCAGAATAAACTGACAGAATGTACAATGAAGCTGAGCGGCGTTTGTGTTGTCAACCCTAGACGTTAAAGTCGGTGTAAACCAAGGTACATTCCAAGTAGACCACGATTCATTTCAAGTTGAATCAGAATCATTTCAAGATAGTTGAAAGCGCAACTTCAAGTCTACGTTTTGGTTCATTTCAGATTGTTCTCGGAGCCCTGAAAACCACCCCCATCAGAGAAATAGAAAAGATAGCAGATACTGAACCACTCGAACTCAGAAGTTGCTATGCTTGATGAGAAGTATCCAAACACCACTTGGACTCAGGTTTTCACCGACGGCTCTGCTACAGATGCAGTCAGAAAGGGAGGTTGTGGAATTTACATTAAACCCCCTAGCAGTAGAGCAGAAACTCTCTCTCTCTACCAGCAGGTGACATCTGCACTAACTTCAGAGCTGAGGCAACTGCCCTCCTCTCTGCAGTCCAACATCTCATCACTCAAGAACACAGAGGGCACAAAATTGTTATACTTAGTGATTGTCTGTTCTCCAATCCCTATTAAGCAAAAAACAAGACAAATTGCTGATCTAAGGACCAATATTGGCTTACTCTCCAAGGAAGCAAAACTGGTCTTGCAGTGGATACCAGCTCACTGTGGTATTCAAGGAAATGAGAGAGCAGATGAGTTGGCAAAAGCTGGGAGTAATCTTCCACAACCTCATCCACCACACAGCTATAAGGAAACCAAAACAGCGCTAAAGCAGTCTTTCAAGCGGGAGTGGAGAAGGCAGAATGGAGATTACAGACCAGAGAGTTACAGCATAAACAAACTCAACAGGAAAGAACAAACATCAATTTTTAGACTTCGGACTGGACACTATGGTCTTCGAGCACACCTGTACAGGATAGGCATAAAAGAATCTGCTGCCTGTGATTGTGGAGCAGAAAGACAGACCCCTGAGCACATACTGCAGTACTGCCCTAACCTCTCCCAGCAAAGACTGTGGATCTGGCCCAAGGGAGCCACATTGCAAGAGAAGCTATGGGGGACCGGTGGCGACCTTAAACGCACAATCCTATTTGTGACCCAGACGGGACTCAATGTTTAGCATGACTGATGTCGAACGCAGAAGAAGAAGAAGAACAAGGTCCTGACCAAACGTAAACATCTATATGTCCATGGACCAGTCTTCTTCATCCTATTTGCCCCAGCCCACTGGTGGGCCGCGGGGAAAAGTGCAGGTGAACCGTAAATAAATTCTGCCTTATCAGGTAACGGGTTAAAGTAGGTACATTTTGTTTTCCAGAATTGCATTCCGTAGGATTAACAACTCAAGGATGAGAATTGAAAGATGACCTATCAGCTGAAAACTGTAATTTTGCGACATCAGATTTAATAAATAAACTGCTATATAAATTTGTTTTTGTTTCTGTGTTTGGTTATAAACAAAGAAATATTAGTCTTTCTTCAATGTCAGTTGGTTCTAGTGCTGTTCTTGTTATTTAAGATTCCAGGGCCCCATTGCGGGGAAAACAAGCATTGACCCACTGCCTCCCTAAAAAAGCATGTTCAAGGAGTCGACTAATCGGGGGCTTCCTTCAAAGCCACAGTGCATCTTCCCGAGCAGCTAGGTACAACCAAACACGCATAAATAGGCCAGTAAAGAGGATGTACACACAAAACCCAGGCTCTTGTTTCAAAGCCAAAGTCTAAATGGATGAACAAGCAGGACTTTGTGCCGCAGTTTACAGTCAATCAACAAAGAAGAAGATTAGGAATATAACTGTAAAATTACTGTTAATATGAGAATTACATAAAGTACTGTGTGTGTCGGCGTGATGCTGACCACATCACCCATCCTGTGCCGAATGATCTAAAATTATAGGTCTAGCCCTATACGCCTAAAGGTGTGGAAAAGGCCCCCCCCCCCCCCTTTTTTTTTTACTTACTGCGAGTGTGACGATACTAATAATTTCATGAATTTTTTTTTTAGCTGTTTTGGCTGTGTGTGTGGCGATATTATGAAAAATTATCTGGAACAAGATCTAAAGTACAGATTCTGTTTAAATTTTATTGATAAATGACAAAATGGCTGACCATTTGCGACTAATTTTGGATAATTTTTATTGACTTTGTCTTGAGCACCATGATGGTAAGTGAAAAAAGAAACCATTATTTAATTTTCCTGTTGGCTAACCTGTGAATAACGGGCCCATATTATGGCGGCCGCAAAAACACCCTAACAGATCCTCAGTTACATCTGGCGACTTAATTTGCGGACTTCCAGCGACTACCGCCACCGCCAAGAGTATCTCCTACGCCGCTACGCGCGGCGTGGATTGGGGCTAAACTAGATGGTTGGGACTCACGAGCAGCAGCGACTGAGGCTCTGTTTGTGGCCACCATAATATGTGCCCATTATTCGGGTTAGCCTTCCTGTCTAATCTTCTTGAAACACATTGACTGTTTGTTTACAAATATTTAACTAGTAACAAATTTGTTTACTGGAGCAGTATTCTTAACATTCCAATAGTGATGTATGTAACATGCATATGTTGCCCAGAAGCAAGAGTTGTATGATCATTTTAAATGGGTTACACTTGCAACATTTCACAACGTTCATCCACCCCTTGGTCCTCTGTTGCTAAACCCCTTGGTACCAAAAGAGTTGAGAATTCCAATAACAGATACAATAATGGGCCTCTGCTGTAGTAAAGAAACCATAAATACATACACTGGAATGAGGATGTCCCAGTGTAGGCTCCAGGAAAAACATTATGGGCTGGGTTGGACAGACCCACTACCCCTAATAATCATGTCGCTGAAGGCGACTAATTAGGGAAGTTTCCTATGAAAAGTCAGAGTGTAACTGCCAGAGAGGCAAGGAATCAAAAGTCTGCATATAACTAAGCCACATCTGTAGAATGAATGTGCAAAACTCAAGTTCTGGAACATGATTCAAAGACTAGAAGTGGATAAACAACCTGAAAATTCTGCTGGAGTTTACAGAAAAAGACCAGAAGTGGACGAACAACCAGAACTTTCCACTGGAGTTTAGCAGAAAATCAAAACAAAATTAAAACAATAACTAAACAAACTATTTAGCACTAATGTCAAATCAATACTGCTGTATGGAGATGAAACATGGAGAATAAAAACAATTACTAATAAATACTAAATACGAACATTCATAAACTGGTGCCTGCGCAAAACAGAGGGAAGTAAGTGGTATGATAGAATCATTAAGGTTGAGCTTTGAGAGAGAACTAAACAAATTCTGGTAATAAAAAGACAACACTTGATAGGTGCAGGCTGAGAAAACCTGAGAACAAAATATCTCAAAAGTCTTTGTACTGGAACCCATAGGGGAATAGAAAT